CTCCTCTCTAAGAATTGTCTGAAAGGGTTATAGGACATGGAAGACTGACTTTGTCTCAGTGCCATTGGGCTTTTTTCAGCCTAGCTGAAGAAAGCTTCAGAATCCATTTTTAAGTTAAACTTGATGCTCGGCATAAACCTCCTGGAAAAGGAGTGTATTTCTGTGAGTGTGGAATTCTCTTGCCTTCCTGTTGTCACTGAGCCTTTGAAACTCCCAGCAAAAGCAGAGGATTGACTGTGCTTTTTGAGACAGCAACCAACCGGTGGTCACCCTCGCTTCACGCCGACTAGGAGAGGCTGTTTTACGTCAGCTGCCTCGGCCTTGATGTGATAAAAGCTTCCTGATGTTTCAGGCTTCAAACATGGATGGTCTGTGCTGTTTTACAGTGGCATGAAACAAGCTTTCTGTTGCCCTCTCATTGTCCTCGATAGCATGGCCCAATCCACTTACTTACCCTTTGCTTTGGGGAAATACGGCACAAACGCGGGTTAGATGCTTTTTTCACTCTGAATTTCAGCAGAGGCAGTTATACTGTTCTCAGTAGGAAAAGGACAAAGTTAAAAAGTAGATAGGAGCAATATATAAATCACGTATGTGGAACTAGGTTAGTTGAGAGACCAGGTAGGCAATTTTTTTCAGTAGTCAGAGGCATTGCTTTTCCTGAGGAAGTCCAGTGTTGAAATGTGCTTGATGTCTTGTCTGTCATTGTAACCTGAGCTAGGAGTATTTTCATGCAGTTAACTTCCATTCCTTGCCTAGAAAATAGCTCAGCTGTAATGAACTTAGCTTTCCTGGTCTGTTCCTGTTTAAATTCTTGAGACATGGAAGAGCAGACCGGATCAGAACCACACTAATTCTGAGGCTTTCCAGCTCACAGTGCCATCTGGAGGGGTTCATTCAGGTTCAGTGCCCTTAGTTATTAGCGCTGACAACAGTACTCTCTGACTTGATGCGCTGCTAAAAAGATGAAGACAATTGCCTTGCGTGCTGTTTCTCTCACTGGCCTGAATTGTCCTCTATGATACTTCACCTGTAAGTGCAAATTGTGGTGATCCCATTGGTTTTCTTCAGAGTATTGCAAGGGAATGGCTGTCTCCTGAAGCTGAAAGACTCTTGAGCTTGTGTTTAGGTAGAGACTATAGCATTTCTTCTCTGGAAAGTTTAGTTAATTCTTCTTCAGACTTACAGTTTGGATTTTCAGCTATGTGACATAATACGTTGAACATTCTTGCAGGTTGCTTGCCCAGTTGTCTTTCTGTAGGTTTTTATCTCAGAATTTGGAAAGAGATTTCTTGGTATAGGCATCTTAGAATTTGGAGAGATTTCTTGGTATAGATATCAGGAACCTAGAAGACGCAGGTATCGCTTGTACAGTTTCCTACGCTTAAGGAGTTAGTGTTTTGACAACAAAAACCTCAGTGCCTAGACCTTTTGAGAATATGACGAAAAGTGACAAAGTGCCACTTTCTTCTCTAATAGAGTTAGCGGTTGACCTGTTTAACACCTCTTCAGGGGACAGACTGTCAAGCTTTCACAAAACTTGGTGGCCTAACAAATGGGTTTTAAACAGCCTAGGTGACGATATACGGCCAAAATCTCAATATTGCTGTCTCCTAGAGTCTCTTCCTTACCTCCCTTGGGGGCCTCTTACGTTATACTTTTCTACTGTGCAATGTAAAAATGTTTCTCTTGGAATCATAAAACCAGGTCACAAGTGAGAGAGAGATTACAGCAGGTATTTTTTCAGTTATCCAGGGGAGAGTGGAATAGATGACCTGAGACTTAAAACCACAGCAGATCTCCAGCTTTTGAATGGTGCCAAAATTTGAAATTTAGGTTGACCTTTTTGGTTTGTCCCTGTTGTTTTGCAAGATAGCCAAATCAAGACTTTGAGGGACATATCTGTGCTTTAAAGATGAGCAAAAAGAATCCCACCCCAGCGCCCTGCTTTTTGTCCTTTGTAGCAATAATTGTTTGCCCGTGGTCAAAGGGAGCAGTGACCTATTGTTGCTAGGACAGTTGAATCTTAAGTTAATCCTTCACCTTTTAAGACAAGTCATCAGTCCGTCTTAGTCTACATATTTTGGTTTCACTTTCACTACTAATTTGGAAATTATACGTTATTATTGTTCAGTGATGAGGGCTGGGAGCATTATAATATAATATAATTGGAAAAGCCTGAGTATTTCTATCACAGGACAGTTTATGATCTTCCATGAGTTTCATGATGCACCTGAGCATCCTCTTGCACTTGTAGCCAGGGTCTGTATGATTCTGGGATGTATCCTAGTCATAACTGGTACAATACAGTTTGTCACAATGGACCTTATACATTTAGATGCAGCTTAGAGCAGACTTTTTAGCATTCACTCTATACACAAAATAAATACTCCTTTCTCAGGCACATTTGTGGCTTTTCTGTTGGTGGCAAATCCCAAGCAATACCTTACAAAGATTGCTGTTTCACTTTTGCCCACCTTCCATATGCTTTGTTGCAGGTACTGATCCTGTGGAGAATTTCAGTCTGCTAGATTGAAAGCTTAAAGTACACTTTCTGCTGTATAATGCAGCGTTTCCATCGAAGAGCTGAAGCTAAGAGTTGTTAGGCTCACTGGGCCTTTTTCCACTGTAGCGTGAGACCAGATTCTCAGATAACAGGTGGTATTATTGTTATCAAATTCTGTTGTACAAAACATTCATGTTTTTACTGTACAGTGTAGAAATGAAAAAAAATAATTACTTGCCTGTAGCAGCTTCCTGTGAGGTTACTTTTTGTTGTCAGTCTCTGTGTTCACAACTCGTTCTATGCTTCTTTAAATATGAGTACATCTCATATCTATAAAAGAAATAGAGATTTTTTTACTTGAGAGGAACTGTGAGAGATGAACAGACCCTGCTCTTTCTCTAAGAGGTGCCTGTGCAGCATTGAACTTGAGACATAAAGCATTTGATGTTAGTAAGTTAAAATTTTAAGGTAATAATGTTTGTACAAGTACATGTGCTTGTACAGGATGTGCTACCTAGAAACTTCTTGTCGTAGCAATTACAAGTTGTTTTTTAAAACAGTAAATACAGCAAATATTGTTTATTTCATTTCATAACAGTCTTCAGAGGTACTGAGCAATTCAAATTGTAGTACCTCTGAAAGTGGTATAATTATAGAATAATTATTAAGGAATAATAAGCAATCATAAGGCAGCATTCAGTTTTCCATGCAGCTTAATATGTTTGTGTTTTAAGAAGTCTTTTATGCATGTGAAACAAATATATAGCTATTTATGCTTTGTAAGTGCAACTTTTTAATCTTAATGGATTGTTTCAGTATTTTCTTGTGCTGATATGTGGGCAGTGATTAAATATTACTGCTTTTATTCAGGTATTTTTAGATACTTTTTAGATGCTTAAAAGGAGAACAAGTTTTTCATTCTGTTGGAGCCAAATTTTCTTTTAACATCCATTTCTACTCTAGAAATAGTTTAGTCAGACTGTATTTGAAATTCATCGATGGACAGCATATCCCAGCAATCGAGATTGCTGGCACAATTATCAAAGGTCAGAATATGGTGAAGACAACAGAACAAATACGTAATGCTGCTGTTGGAATTGTAGCAGTACATTAACTTTCATAACTGCCATGGTTTACACAAGTAATCCCCCCCACTCTGCGAGTTAGTTTCCTTCTGTCTCAAGAGCATTTAGTTCCTAATAGTGGTTGACTCTCCTCTGCTTTTCTGACTTTCTGCCAATTGGAGGATATGATCATTTAAAAAGCTAAGTTAGTGTTGTACCAGATGTCTGGAATTTTGCTGCAGTATGTGATGTGGGATTGACAATAGTGTTGTTTTGAGATTAAGTCAAAAGCAGTTATAATTAGAACTAGATAAATACGTCCTCTGAATGGTTCTTCAGTTCAGTTGTTCTTTTAATGTGGGAAATTATTTTGAAAAGTGTGACCATTATTTATCTGCATGCTGCTCTGTTGTAGTCTTACAACTTTCAGTAGGTAGTTTTCTGTTTACAAGACGCAACACGTCTTCTGCATCCACAGAATTTAGTGTGAACACCCAATCACTTCCAATTTTTTGAACTAATGGAAAGCAGAGTAGCTGTTGTAAATGGCACTTCTGGAAATATGGAAATAAACATGTAATTCTTCCTGCACAATTTTATCATAGGTTGTTTATGCTTTAAAAGGAAGGAGACATAGTTTCTTTCTCAGAGTTTAGCTTAAAACTCCCAATTTATTTGTTACAATTAAGAATTTAATTGTACACTGTATATTGGACAGAAATAATTCGGACAGCAAACATGGACTTCATAATGTAGTTCTTCAGTTGCCGTGAAGTGGATATGCCTGTTTCCAAGAGGATTGCCTTTTTGCCTAGAAGCAGGACTTGAAAAACCTATGAGATGGAAATTGCAAATTGTGAGTTATTTTAGATGCAAAAGCTGAGTGTCAAGGATAAGGAGTAAAATCAGCTGTTACTCACTACTGGAACACACTAGTGGAGTTTTTAACAGGATTCAATAGTGCTTGGAGGATCCGAGGTCTTACTAGGATGATGGGAAAAGCTGGAAGCAATGTGCTGGCGGATAAGCGGATAGTGAAAGAAGACTTGTTCTCGATAGGTTTTAGTATGTCTGAAAATCTGATGGTAAAGTTCTATCACAGCTGACAATGCTCCTAATGCCTTCCCAGGGTAAGGTGATTACCCTCTATTGCTCCTTGGAGGGGGGTCAGTGCAGAGAGCCTGTGCTGAGTGTCCTTCAGCTTCTGATATTGGATCCTTCCTCCTCCGTGAGTGTTGTGGTTTTAACCGCAGCCTGCAACTGAACACCACGCAGCCGCTTGCTCACTCCTCTCCCAGTGGGATGAGCAGAAGAATCGAAGAAAAAAAACAACTCATGAGTTGAGATAAGGACAGTTTAATAACTAAAAATGTAACAATAAAATTAATGCAGTATAATAATAACTGTAAGGAAAAGTAATATAACAACAGGAAGAGAGAAGTGAACTCTGAGAAAAGCCAAGTGATGCACAACGCAGTTGCTCACCACTCGCTGACCAGCTGCCTGAGCAGTGATCCACCTCTCTGGACCAGCTCCCCCCAGTTTATAAACTAAGCGTGACATCCTGTGCTGTGGAATATCCCCTTGGCTAGTTTGGGTCAGCTGTCCTGGCCAGGCTCCCTCCCAGCTTCTTGTGCACCTCCTCGCTGGCAGAGCATGGGAAACTGAAAAATCCTTGACTTCCAATAAGCACTGCTTAGCAAGAACTGAAACATAGGTGTGTTATCATAGAATCCTAGAATGGCCTAGGCTGGAAGGGACCTTAGAGATCATTTAATTCAACCTCCCTTTCACAGGCAGGGACTCCTCTGAACTAGAGCAGGCAGCACAGGGGGACTGAACAGGGATCGAACCCTCGACCTTAGTGTTATCAGCACCATGCTCTAATCACCGACTGAGCTAACCGGCCCCCTAATCAAGGTTATTGTCATGGTAAATCCAAAACACAGTGCTGCACTAGCTACTAGGAGGAAAATTAACTCTATCCCAGCCAAAAACAGGAGGACGAATAACTCTCTTGTGTTTACATTTTTTGCTCTTGCTTGGAATTTTGTAACTCGACAGAGACTTGACATTGAATTGTTTCAAAACTGCGGGTTCAGAACTGGCAGAAACGGTGTTAAGTTCTCCACAGATGTAGTTTTGGCATTATCAAGCTGATATGCCTGTCAGACAGGTGTGGTGGATTGACTCGCCACTTTATCACTCCCCTTCCTCAGCTGGACAGGGGAGAGAAAATAAAAAGGTCAGGGGTTGTGGAGGACAAGGAGAAATCACTCAGCAATTGCAGCCATAGGCGAAACAGACTTGATTTAGGGATAAAAAAAAATAACTTATTATCAGTGAAGTCAGAGTAAGATAACGAGAAATGAAAAACTAAATCTTAAAACACCTTTCCTCCCACTCATCCCTTCCTCCTGGGACCGAACTTCACTCTCATACTCTCCACCTCCTCCTCCCCAGCTACTCAGGGGAATGGGGAATGAGGGTTGTGGCCAGTTCATAACAAGTTGTTTCTGCAGTGCCTTCCCCCTCAGGGGAAGGACTCCTCACATTCTTCTCCTGCTTCCATATAGGGGGAGGAGACAGTTCTTTGTGAGCTTCTCCAACATGAGCTCCTGCTGCGAGAGACAATTCCTAATGAGCTCTTGCAGTGTTTGTGACACCACCTCCCCAACGCACAGGCTTCCACAGGGTGCAGGCCTTCAGGAGCAGGCTGCTCCAGCATGGGGTTCCTGCAGGGTCACGCGTCCTGCCAGCAGACCTGCCCCAACGTGGGCTCCTCTCTCCATGGTGCCACAGGTGCTGGCGGGAGCCTGCTCCAGTGTGGGCTTCCTACAGGGTCACAGCCTCCTTCAGGCATCCACCTGCTCTGGTGTGGGGACCTCCAAAAAAACCCCACCATTACCCCCCGGGGGCTGCGGGGGACAGCCTGCCTCTCCATAGTCTCCCCCACGGCGCAGGGGAATCTGCTCCAGCGGCTGGAGCACATCCTCCCCTCCTTCTTCGCTGACCTGGGTGTCTGCAGAATTGTTTCACGTGTTTTCACTCCTCTCTCCATCTGAAGTTGCACAGGTTGGTTATTTTTCCCTCCCCTGTCTGTTATCCCAGAGGTGCTACCACTGTGGCTCATGGTCTTGGCCTTGGCCAGTGGCGGGGGTAAAAAAAGGCTGGCCGTAGCTCCCATCAGACATGGGGAAGCTTCTGCCAAGTCTTCGCTGAAGCCACCCCTGCAGCTCCCCGCTTCCAAAACCTTACCGTGCAAATCCAGCAGAGTAGAGGAGTTTCACGCTGGAAAGGCTCTTCTTCTAGAAGCACAAAATTTGGAAGTGTTTTTCTGTTTAATTAAAGTTTTAATGCTACAAAATTTATATTCCTTAGTTCTCATGACTACTGGTGGCCTTTTTCCTGCTTGTTGCTGAAATGTAAATAGATTCTTTACTCTGGTTCCTGAGTCCCATTTTCTGAAGAAATTTGTTACCTGAGACTCCTGTGTCTTAATGTGAGAATCCCAGAGTGTGCTTGTTCAGCAGTAGCTGTTTGTTACCTGCTGCTCTCATTTCTAGTTTTGGGTGTTATTTTTTTTTTAAATAAAATTTTGATTAAAAATGTCAATTTGAAGCTCTGTAGCATTAGTAGCTGGACGGTTTTGTGTATATGTGAATGGGTGGAGTAAGATGATTTGTGCATGTGTCCATCACTAAGTGTAGTTACTTCCAGAATATTAAATGCTCCTACAGAAACTGTCAGTTGAGAACTTGTGCAATGCAAAAATACAAGCTTAGTTTGCATATGCATTTAGCTTTCATATGTGCCCATCTTCAGCAATGTTTAAATAGAAAAAAATGAGATCTGTTTATAACTGCCATGGTAGAATTTAATCTGTTAATTCTGAAGAAGTGAAAATTGACAAGTTAATTTTGAAAGCAGAGGAAGCTGACATAGCCAGATGATGCCTCAGCTAAAATATGCAAAATACTTGAGGAGAGACATGGAGTAATTCACTTGTCCTTGAGATACATGTCTAATTTTGTAGACAAATAAAGACTGTAAAGCTGCTTTAAAAAAGCCAACTTAACTTCCTATTACAGAAGGTTTCAATCAAGTTGGGGAAGAGGTTCTTGACCAGTGCCACTACATATCTTTCAGTATTTAAACATAAAAAGCAAAATCTCAGTAGTTACACTTGAAGTCAGGTTGCCTGCTTTGTGTAATTGTGACATTTGGACAAGTTCCACTTGTCCTATGAATGAATTGAAAACTATTTTGTTGAGGTAACTCTCTAGTTTTAGGAGAATGTAATAATGTTGTAAGGAGGCAACTGGAACCTTCACCTTTCCCACTGTTAAGAAGCTAAATCTATGTTTTGTTTTGTTTTCCCCTTAAACTTTCAAATCAGGAAGATACTATTTTTCTGCTGTTCAGAATTTCTGTAGTTTATAAGCTTTAATAGATTTTTTTTTTTGGTGATTAAATAGAAATAGATTTTTCATTATAATCTTTTTCTATTTAAAAAATAGAAAAAGAAACCCATGAGGCTGAGCTGTTTAGGGGTGTAGTAGGGAGGAAGTATTAAATATGCAGGTGAGCACATTTGGCTCGGTAGATCTTCAGGTCCTCCTCCTGTAAAACGACAGGAGCCATATGCCAGGCTGTCAGTTGTCCTAAGAATGGAGAGGAGGCTCAAGAAACCCAAGAAGAAATACAGATAAAGAGGCATGAACCTACGCTAGCTAAAAGTCAGAACTGATCTGTCAGTGATGCATTTGTTTAGATTGGAGCTTCCTAGCTCTCCTGGGGCTGGATGAGAGCTGGAGAACACTTCAAGCGAGGGCTCACGCGGTAACCGAACCGAGACTGGGAAGGGGGACTCTGTGTCCTGCTTCGTTTGGGTGTTGCTGAAGACGTTGGATGGAAGCGTGGCTTTCTCGACTGGTGAATATCATGGGCAAACATGCTATCTTTTCTGTAGCGTTTTCTTACAATTGCAGCAGATTTGCTGAAATACCTGACACTTGGGCATTAGTTGATGTAAAAAGTATTTAAAGCTTTACGGTCTTTATTTGCATGCTTTATGTTTACATTGAACCTACATTTCTACAACATATTATGGCACTTCATTGGACTCTTCAGTTGGAAAATAATAATTTTTGTTTCCAGATTTTATTGGTAGGATCTGTTTAGTTTTGAATTTTAGTGGATAAAACCTCCTGTGCTTGTTTTTTTAATTTGAACAGAAATTCTCTTCTTGTTAAGGAAAGATGTTTTAAATGGATTTTCTTGTGTAAACCACTGTAAAGTGATTAAAAGTGATAAGCTATTCAAAAGGCAGTGCCTTGCAGTATTTGAATAGCTTACATACTAATTGGTTTTTCAACTGTGTGCCTGGCTCACCTGTGACTTTTTGTTCATCAGCATGTTTTGCTACAAGGTAGTGTATCTTGTAATTTGCTCATTGTTCTTAGACTATTCCCTTATTCTGTCTTTTGCTGTTTTTTAGTGATGATTTCAGTAACTTGATCTGCTTTTTGAGTTTCTGTAAATTAATTTTGAGGTAATTATTAATATCAAATTGAAAAATTATATCAGAGATTGGCTCTGTTGCATTTGTCCTTTCTAATGACATCTGTACCTTTACTTTTGACTATTTTGATTTACAGGTCTCAGTCTGTGGAACACTAACTTGCTAGTATGAAGCCCAACAGGAATTCATTAATAGATTGTTGGTTTACATTTAGGATTTTTTTTAAAGGAAACTATAAATGGAAGAATGATTTTAATGTGTCTTGGGTATGCAGCATTAATTTCCAACTTGTTTTCAGTGGTAATTACCTTGAAGCCTTATGCAGAACAGCTGGTAAGCCTTTATAGGGGATGCCTTTAATAAGAAAGGAAAACTTTCACTGTTAACAAGATTTTGTCTCCTCTACAGCTTGCCCAGTTTAGGCAGCGAAAGGCACAAACTGATGGTCAGAGTGGATCAAAGAAGCAGAAGAAGAAGAAGAAAGCAGCAAACATCAAAGATGAAGAATCAGTACAAGATGGCATTGATACCAATCGATCTCGAGGTGAAGAGGCATCCACGTGCAGCAGCAGCCAACGGGGAGCAGCTGCTCTGGCTGACTTTACTGTTGTCAGGACTTTGCGTAGCGGAGAGCTTATCCAACACAGCCAGACATACGCCCCTGAGGTAAGTTTGTCTTGGGCTGGAACCAGTTACGTGGGGAGGGCAGCAAATTAGTCCGTTATTTTAGGAGTGATGATAAAGGAATTATATGAGACTTTTAATATTATTTCCTTGCCTCTTCTGTCTGTCCTCTTAATGTGTCCAGAGAAGGCACTTTCTGTCTGCCTAGTGGCACCCTGTTTTCTGTGGTAGCTAGTGCACTGCAGATTATGGAAAGTTTGTTGGTACTGCTGCACTCCCTAAGTGGGGAGAAAATGGTTGTGTTTTATTGCTTCATTTTGTGTGTTTTGTTTTATTAAAAGTTTACAAATTGCAGTGGATTTTTCATCACTGCAGCTGTGGCAAAATGCAAAACTAGATATCTATCTTGTATCCATAATGTAATTCGAGTTTGTCTCGTTAATGAGAAGGTAGAAGGAATTTAGAAAATGCTACTTAGAACTGCGTAGCTTAAGAGCCTGATAAACAGACACTCTACTTTTACTACTTAATGAAATATAATACTGATTGCTAGTGACTGGAAGCACATGCGCTGGGGAGGTTTTGAGGTGGCCCCATGTGATGTACACTGGCAGTTCAGTTCTGAGTGGACGTGAATTCACGTACCATGATAGGAGGGGTGAGAGATGCTGGTGATGTTTACAGGGTAACTTATTCCATTTGTCAGAGTGATGCCTGTAGATGGAGATGAGTGGCATTCTGATCAAGCAGCTCATCGCAAATTCCCAAGTCTGCGCAGGTGAATGTAGTCTTTTCTGAGAGATGTCGTACCGATGAAGGCTCTGTATTTTGACCTGTCAGTCCTGTGCTAGGATAGACCATTCGTAACTATTCTGGCTCCATTATCTCATTTCTAGCGGCTGAGAAGTAATAGAGGAGTAACATTCTTCAGAAATATCTTACATTTGTGTGTTAAAAAAATAAAACTACCCTAGCAGAAGGGCAAACAGACTAAATCATATATACGAATAAAAATTCTAAAGTAACTGATCCATTTATTTTACAATATTAATTCTAAAATATTTTGGTACAATATGTAGCTTTTTGTATTTTGAAAGCTCATATTGGGGCTTCATAACTGTACTATCTCAACAAAATTATCTGTTCAACCCGTGGGGGAGGTAGTAATTTTTGTAAGAGTATTTAGTAACAGACTGACTGTTTTCATAGGTGAAGATGAGACTTTTTTTACTTTCTAGTAAAACAAAAAATTGTACTTTATGAAATACATCAGGTTATCTGTTCTATGATTCTGCCTATAGCTAAGGAGAGAGGGCTGCTAGGACAGAGAGCTGTTTAGAGGGAACCATTTAAACTGTTTTAACAGTGTTACAGTGTACATTAATACTGTAACTATATGAAGAAAATTTCTTAACCAAATATATTTTGAAATACATTGTGATTGCATGTTACAGATGGACTCTGCTGATGTACCTGCTCTCAGTCAAGATAAATATATCTATTGCAGTTGGACATGGAGGATGAAGTACAGAATTGTAGAATAATTTATGTTGGAAGGGACCTCTGAGGTCGTCTAGTCCAATCCTGCGCTTAAAGCAGGTCTAATTAGATCAGGTTGGTCCCAGTAGCCTATGTTTGCCCCTGTTAGCAATACAAGACATAGATGGTTTTAAACATGGAAAAAATATCTCTGCTGCAGTTGCTAAAGATCGCACGCAAACGTATGTTGTTAAGATTATGACTTTTTTGAGTTCTGTCTTATTCCCAAAGCAACTTAGCTTATGTTTAAATAAATAAATGTAGAAGTGTATAGGGTTTTTTGATTTGTTGGGGTTTTTTGTTTGTTTATTTTAAGATAATAAGCATGGTGTGGATTACTGATGTTTTAGTGACTTCTAAAATGCTGTTCATTTACACCAAAGAAAAGCTACTCCCAACTGGGAGAGCATTTGTCTTTGTTACATGTTGTCTGTGGCCTGCTTATTCACACTGAATAAATAATTGGTGTTTTGGAGTTGGCAGATGATTGCTAAAGTGTCTTGTCTGCACAGTATTAGTGGAAGAGGAAAAATTCCGAAATAGTTTCAATGAATATCTTAATTTACTGGTTTTGGTCTTGTTAAGTGCAGTGACTTGGACCGAGAGCCTGTATTACAGGAATTGGATTAGAGCTTGCTTAGTTGGAGTGGCAGCCAATGTAATAGGGGCTTTCAGGCTAATCTTTGTGATGGAGAATTACTGACAGCTTCTTCAAGCTGTTCGCTTTTTCACCCAACATTACATCTTTGTAGGCTGCTGTGTCAGGAGAGGAAGGCAAGATGACTGGAGGCATTATGCGAGATTTTCTACCTAAACTTTGATTCTGCTTACTTATTTCATGGGATCATAGAATCGTTTAAGTTGGGAAAAAACCTTTAAGAACATCAAGTCCCATTTGATCTGTTCCTGGATTTCATATTTAGAATTGTTCTTTCCGTACCACAAAGTAGACTCAAAACATCTGACTGTACTGTCTGTGTATCTAAAAATCCTGACCGAGCTCTTTTGTGGTAGTTTTGTGGATAGAAATTAATCTCCCTGCAGTTTTTCTAGTATGATTTTTTTGGCCCCTAGGGACATTAGCATGTCCCAATACAAATTACAAAAGAATTTTCTTGCTCAGTGTGAATAAGAAAAAGTGAATTCGAGGTACTTCTCTGAGAGCTCATTCCCCATCCAAAGTGAGAGGAGTTCCTTTCCAGACAGAGCAGAAGTCTGTTTAGAGAATTAAAAGTTATTTTTTGCAGTCATCCCTTGCCCCTTTTTTCCCCCTCATGTTTTCCTGAGAGTGGGTTCCTCTGCCCCCTGTAATCCCTTGAGTTACAGAAACTGGTTGGAAGAAGTCTGGAAAAACTGTCATTATTTTGTACTGTCCTTATCCATTCTATTCTACCTTCTGTCTCAACTTACTTGTAATTTCTATAAGGTTTTCTGTCCCCTGTCAGAAGAGGAGTTTATTTACAAGATTTATTAGGGAAATTAAGCAATAAATTAACCATTTATTGGTTAAAATCTCTGGGTCTTAAGTTGTTTCATATTAATCTCACAAAGAGTGTACTCTGATGAATTTCTAGATGCCTTTGTTTTCTGTCCTCTGTTGCAGCCTGTTATCTTTTGGTCTTGACATTTATAGTGTCCTTTTCCATATAGAAGTAAAAATAATCTAGAAGACACAGCCCAGGAAATAAATTGGATCAATGAAACTCTTGGTTTTAGAATTGCTTCTTTTTCTGACTTCCTGCAATTAAAAATGGAAGAAAGCAAAGCCACTTCGAGGGTAAATAATTGCTGAGATCACCTTCCATGAGAAGTCTTGAAATGATGCATTGGAGCAGACTGCTTTGCAAGAGTGTACTAGTGCCAGGAAAGCAAAAGAAATTAACCTCTGACACAGTAAAATTGTCCTTGAGTCACCTGAGTAGTAAAAGCTATTATACAAAGCTGCTTAGAAAAGAAAAGTTTAAAGTTCTGTGATGGAGAATACCTGCTAATTGACTAAGGTTAGATTAGTAACTCGTCTTTTGTTTTTCACAGGACAAATCCATTTGGTAATAGTTTTAGAATAGCTTAACTATTTACTCAGGTAAATTATAAAGTTTATAATTCCCTGTTCATTGTTTCTTTTCTAGAACTTACTCCAGATGATAGTGCCTGCAATTTGACAGGCAAGGAACAGAGTAAAAAGGAGACACTGGGTAGGATTCTTGAGAAGAACTAAGGAAGAAGAATGACAAATACGGAAACATAAGCAATATGGAAAAGCAGAGAGAACACCTCAGTGAGAAAAGGCATAGGTGGTGAATGCGGGTAGGGTGTTGCTATGATAGAACCAGGAAAACAAAGGGCAACCAATGGCTTTGACTAGAGAAGAGATATTCTCGGTTGTACAGTAAGATGGAGGATTGAAAAAGAAGGATGGGCAAATAAACATAGCAAAAATCAGCCCAGTCACTTCAGATAATCTACCATCCTTTCAAAAATGTTTTGAAATTGGAGATTGAATTAAACAAATGTCTGGAAATGATCTGTTCCGTAGTAAATTCAAAGCCACAGGAGAAGGTGATATATTCTCAGCTGCATATAGATCTGACTGAAACCAGTCATCTTCCCATTCACCATCTGGCCAAAAGATTGCTGACATATCTTGCCAATTTTCTTTGGTGCATAAGACAACCTCCAATATGATGCCTTCTTTCTCTCTGTAACTGCAGATATATAATAGATTTACTGATATGGAAATTACCTGTATTGTAAAATGGTCTTTGCAGATTTACAGAGTATTTAATTTTAGATTGAATATTTATAAGGCTGTATTGCCAAAGAATAGAAACCTAATTAAGTGCTTAGGTTACCTCTCTGTTACTGATGCTTTCTGATACAGGAAACTTATACACTGAGAAGTGGGGTAGCTCACTCCAGATTATATTCAGATTTGGTTGTGGTTTATCTCCACAAAGATGTACTCTATTTAAATCTGATTCTAGTCAATTGATTTGGGTCATAAATTACCAGGGAATGCATTTCTTTCAGCTGCGTGGACTTCAGATTAGGAACTAAGAAAGTCATGACCAGGCACTGTATAAAATAGGAATTCGTATTCAGATTGTTCTACAAATAATAAAGACCCATCAAGTTCGGGATGGCCTAAAAGGCTGGCTTCATGACTGGGATTTTTGGTTTACATTGTCTTTGCCTCCCTTCCTAGTAATGGTCCTCTGAGTCTTACTCAGGTTGTGATCATATGCGGATCACTAATGACCCAAGTGAAACTTGTCAGGATAAAATAATTTGTTCTCGCTTCTACGGCTGACTAATACATGTTCAAGAACGAATCCAGAATTCTGTAGTTAGATTTTTGTAACAGTTTACACTGAGGTCAGAAAAACGTCAGTTTACTTCAGGTAGAGTTCTGTTCCAGGAATACTCAATTCTCGCCCTTCAGTGCTTTCATCCGCTGTGATTGGAGTAGTTTAGTACTCACTTGCTGTTCTTGCGAAATGTTTTGTTGTCACCCATGAATGGTTTCTAAAGAAACACAGAAATCCATTTTCAGTTCTCATAGCCATTTTCATATGCAAGTTGTTTGTGAATGCTGTGATAACATTGATCATCCAGTGCCAAAGAACGTGACTTCCAAGCAGTGCTTAACTGCACACAGAAACAAGTTGTTGGGGCCTACTACATAGAAACTTGGTGAAAGAGTAAAGGTCAATGACCGACAGAAAGTGCTGAGGCAGTTAGTTATGAGACTACTGAAGACAATGCAGCTTTCGGGAGTATCTCAGATAAGAAGGTAGGCCAGGAGAATCAGGAGATTTGACGCTGTGCACAAAAGCCTATCACAGTGACTGGTTGGGTGCATGCTTGCCGCGTGGACAGTAGCGTGTAACCAATCATGTAGTGCATGGACAGGGTATCTGATCAATCACGTAACACTTAACTCGTGCTGTACGCGTGTAAGGAACTAACTACACTATATAAGTAGCCTTCTGATTGGCTACTGTGTGCTGTTCGTCCGACTCGCACGGATCCCCCACACAAGTTACTCTGAAATGGGCCTCATGTTCCACAGGTTGATTACACCCAAAAAGTGTAATTATCGTCTTGCAGGATTTCCTCTGAGGGAAGTATACAGATGAAAGTGTTCTTAATTTTCTGAATACGTGTTGTCATCAAGTGTACTACCTGTACAGTTGATGGAGATAGTTAAAATACCCTGAACAAACATCTCAAAGACTCTCTGTAGGAAACTGTCAACCACATTGTCAGTGAAGAAGATGTGAAATAAAGAATTAAAACACCTTGACAGAAGAGAGTGGCTGTTTGTAGCAAGAAAACATTATGGGGCATATGTGGTAGAATACATGCAGACTAACAGCCTGAAGTCAGTGTAACAGAAACCCACCTCAAATTCCACACAGTATTAAAGAACTGATTAATTGCTTCGTGGACATTATCCCTTCAGAAGATGTTGTGGTGCTAACAGCGTGTGTGCATATGAATTTTTTGGAAGTAAGTGTTTTTAAACTCGACTGTCTTGGTTCAGACAGATAAGCTGTGTAAAACCTAATTACTTCCGTTGACCGGAGGAGAATCAAAACTTACGGAATGGATGGCTTAGTAATGGAAGGAACTGGAATTCTGAAATCAGGTCTTAAGACCGGAACATTGCTGCTTGGAGGGCAGGATGAGTGACCATAAAATGTTGGCTGCTTGTAATGTTATTGATTCTGACAGCGAAGGAATAGCATTAAGTCTTACAGTGTTGGAGTCTAATGAGTGAGCTCATAGGATTTAAGTCTTTTTACCTCATTTTTAGCAGGATTTGGATGAACTCCTTAGCACAGAAGACAGATCCATTTAACTTCTTCAGTTCATTTGACCATCTCTGTGTATTTATCTTCAATAAATGCCTTGGCAAAAATACTTGGTCTTAATAGCCAAAAAAATGTCTAAATGCAGGACTGAAGGAGATATTTCAGAAACATTTAAGCTGCTAGGAGATACTGCACATATTTTTTTTATAAATTTAAAATTTATTTTAGATTTTTTTTTTAAAAAACTTCAGATTGATATTCAGAAAGAACCTGCAGTATATTAATTTAAAACCAAAACAAAATAAAACACTACCACACAAAAACCTTGTATCTGGACAAATTACCATGTAAAAAGAATTATTTTCAGTAATCACCTTCCTCTGAGAATTTATAATTTCTCACTCTGACCTAAGGTTCAGTCTACAAGTTCTTTGCTGTTTACTGTGATTATCTACTAGGTTTGAGTTCACCCCAGGATCTAAACATTCACTTATCATCTTTCTTGTAAACCAAGGGGCTGTTTATATAATTCAAAAGCAGTTGAAGAAGTGCCTGTATTTCATGCACTATATAAAGAACTTCAAGACTTGTTAGATCTAATTAAATATATAATTCTGTAGGAATACTTCTGAGCTTCTATAAGGATACTTCTAATCTTTGTGAAGTCTTCTGAATTGAACTCAACCATGAAATGTTGTAGAATGATATGGTGATACTTTTATCTGTATGATGAAAACAAGTAACAGTGTCTTTTTTCCCTGATTTTATTCCTTCCAGAGGACTTTGTCCTAGACCAAGGACATAGACTACAAGCAGTATGTAAAATGTGTGTGTATATGCATATATATGCAAATATACATATAAGTATGTATAATATGAACAAAAATATATAATAAAATAAATACTGTTAAGTACTAATTTTAGATTCCACAGCAGAAACACTTCTGTCCACCTACAGTTTTAAAACATCATTTTGATTTCCATTTCATTTTGTGGCTTATTTTTAAGGTAAATCTTTTTCAATTTTAAAAGCATGTGCACTGTATGAATTTTGGCTTCCATATTCTTATTTTAAGTTAGCTCTGTGCATTCTGTACGTACAATACTACACTCTTTTTTTAAAGTTAATTACATTGTTGAGTTACATATTGGATCCGAAATATGTAGAATCAATGATGCTGGCATTGTGAAAACTGCAAAGTGCTAGTCGGTCTCAGTGGCAGATTTCTTTAAAAAAGGAAAACCAAACCAAACCGCAATTGACCGTTACAATTTGTAGTTACGTCTACTGATAGAAAACTATGTTACTGTGAAAATAAACCTGACAGAACGCAGTGTAAAATGGAGACGGATTTAATGTAAGACTGGCTAATGTGTTAAGAGAATTTTGAAAAAAGCCCTTCATTTTTGTTATAGTAGTTTTAACTCTAAATTACTTTCCAAGTCAGAAGGGTACTTACTTATTCCCCAGTAGTGTATCTTATATGGCTAATTTGAATATTTTGCATAGCTTCCTACTAACGTCTTGATTCTCAAACCTCATACGTTGTATGTAGTTCATTAAAATACTCTATATAATGCAAGTGTCTTCCGTGGCATGTTTATGCTCGTTTTTAAGACTTTATTCCTTTAACTGCTCCAATTTGTCAGATCAGGAGACTTGAGTCTTTGTTGCTTTTACCTTTCCTTGAAGAAGCAGGGTATGAGTGTTTGTTTTAAAATTCTAGTCACCATCAAAAGTCTCACGTATATGAAAATGACTTTTTATGTATGATTATGTTGTTAAACCAGCAAAGTTCCTAATTAGGTGAAATTGATGTATTGGAGAAAAGGTTTTTTCTTGGTACTATTTAATTCTTTAAAAAAACACAAACCAAAAAGCGAAATCTCCTAAGTTACATTTCCAAAATATTATTTTGTACCTGTAGGTTGTATTCTCATTAGAGGACTTTGACATGTAATTGTAATATTTCTGTGATCATGGTTGAACAGCAAAATAACTTTTTCTTTTTTAAAGCTGGGATTTCAAGGAAGTGAGGGTAGCCTTCACTATATCTATATTTTAATCAAAATCATGTTTGCTTTAATGTTTTTGAATACTGTCTGAATTCTCAGAAACAGATGGAAAATGTCTTATTAAATATTTTTAGAGTGCCATCATTGTAAATATTTTAATATTTTATTTTAGCCAGAAAGTGAAATTTCCACCACAGTAGAAGATTACAGTTCTGAGGTAAGACTGAAAAAACATTTTTCCTAACTTTTCTTTCAACTTTTTATTTTACATGTTTACTGCAGCACAGTGCATTGCTTTTCAAAAAGAGACGGAAAGAAAGAGCAGATGTGATGCCGTAGACAGAGCTGTTACGTGTCACTGCTGGTATGACTAATGTACCATTAACGCGAGCATTATGGCATCTACATAAGGGGATGGCTGCTATAATCAATAATACGGTAGATATATGGACTGTTACAACACTGTCATCATTGCAGTCATATTAATGCTTCACGTTGCCATTGGCTGTGCATAATTTCTACTAATTTTTTGTGGGAAACTAACAAGTTAATTATGTGTTAATGACTTCAAAAGCAGTCGTTGCTTAGCAACTGGCTAGGCATCATTCTGCTGGGGGGAAGTGGTGAGTGATTGCCTTTGCATCACTTGTTGTTTGTGGGTTTCGTCTTGTTTCACTTATTACGCTGTCCTTATCTTAACCCACGAGTATTTCTCGCTTCCAATTTTCTTCTCTGTTCTGCTGGGGGGAAAAGGAGTGACTGGGGGGAGTTAGCTACCGGCTGAGGCCGACCAACTACACATTGCCATCTACCACTCATGTCTGTTGCATCAAAGGGTAGTAACATGTCTTGAGCCTTTGTCTTGCTGAATGAAAGTTTGTTACCTTTATAAGGAGTAAAATACCTCATGCATAGATGTGGGTGAAGAACATGCTTGCGAGAGATAGTCATGGCATATCTGGGTACAGTGAACATTGTTTCTAGTAAAAAAAAAATAATTTTTCATGTCTCAAACAGTTGCTTTCTGTAATGACAATCTAGGTTTTGTTTTGCAGATCTCTGTGCTAAATGCTTCTGCAAAACACACCCCAGAATCTTAAGCTTGGCAACAAGTAGGAGGAGATGAGTTTCCATTGCTGAAGTAAATTTGGTGTAGCATTATTTGTTTCGTTCTTGATTTAGCCTTCTATAAAAGAAGGTGACTATGCCTTGGAATAATGATTTGTCCTGTACTAGTATTATAGCTGCATACAGCATCATAGAATGGTTTGGGTTGCAAGGGACCTTAAAGAATCTCTGTTTCCAATCCCCCTGCCATGGGCACTTCCAGGGATGAGGCACTCACAACTTCTCTGGGAAACCTATTCCAGTGTCTTACCACCTTCACGGTAAAGAATTTCTTCCTAATACCTAACTTAAATCTACCCTCTTTCAGTATGAAACCATTACCCCTCCTCCTATTGCTACATGCCGTTGTAAACAGTCCTTCCCCTTCTTTCCTGTAGCCCCCTTTAAGTGCTGGCAGGCTTCTATAAGGTCTCCCTGGAGCCTTCTCTTCTCCAGGCTGAACAACCCCAACTCTCTTAGACTGTCCTCACAGGGGAGGTGCTCTGACCGTCCTCTAGACTTGCTCCAACAAGTCCATGTCTGCCTTATGTTTATGTTGGGGGCCCCAGAGCTGAGCACAGCCCTGCAGGAGGGTCTCACGAGGGCAGAGCAGAGGGGCAGAATCCCCTCCCTTGCCCTGCTGGCCACGCTTCTCTTGATGCTGCCCAGGATGTGATCAACTTTCTGGGCTGCGAATGAACATTGGTTGCTCACGTCGAGTTTTCCATCCAACACCCCCAAGCCCTTCTCTGTGGGGCTACTCTCCATCCCCTCATGGCCCAGCCTGTGTCTGTGCTTGAGATTGCCCTGACCCAGGGGCAGGACCTTGCCCTTGGCCTTGCTGAGCTCCGTGGGGCTGGCACGGGCCCACCTCTCCAGCCTGCCCAGGCCCCTATGGATGACATCCCTTCCCTCCGACGTGTGGACCGCACCACTCAGCTCGGTGTTGTCAGCAGGCTTGCTGTGAAGCTTGCAGGAATGGAATATACACACCTCAGACAACGTGTCCCTGACTGTCGCACTGCATGGTACAGAAGTGCTATTGTTAGTGCAGTGGGCAGTCTGGACGTGTCCTGAAAACTGGAAGGACTTTTCTTTCCCAACATAAATGCTCTGTTTTAACTTGCTCCTTCTCCTGGCCTATTCTCTTGACCAACTTGTATCCTAGTTTTCTGTCCCCTAGTTTTTTATAAATTCTTCCCTCCTCTGTAATAGCGTCAGTCAGTCTTTTCAGCTTCCCTTGCCCATCTCTTTTTTCCCCTTACGTGAATTCTTAACTCAGTCTTAGAGGCCTGTTTCTATTAATCCTTTTCCTTTCCGAGTCATGACATAGCTCAATTTCTTTCCCAGCATTTCCAATTTCATGCATTGTTTTTACTTCTTTCTTCTTTAAATACTTTTTTTCTTCCCTCTCCCATGAAAACCTCTTCTCCTTCATTCCCTCGTATTGCTCTCCCTTGAAAACCTGTTCTTCTTTATTCCCTCCTGTTACGTTGTGGTCCTCCTAACATTCAGCTCAACTTGTCCTAGATGAAAGCAGTAGTTTTTATCCCCAATCTCTCATCAAATCACAGTTATAATTTCCTCCATAGATTTGATCTTAGCCTTTTTAGACGAATTTTCTTCCTGTACCTCTCTTCCTAGTTTGACTCTTTTTCTTCCATTTCTTCCTCCTGTCCCTGTTCCTTTGTTCTGGTGTGTTGGGAGAACACCGTTGGGAATACAGGGAAAATGTTCCCTCGCATTCCTTACTGGCTACTTTCACATGCAGAGTGGTGACCCATAGGGACCCTTGGTCTAGTCCAATGTGGCCATTCTTATGGCATGTTTTCTGTGATGCAAATTAAAAAAAAAAACAAGACCAAACCTGAGACCAGCACTTTTGGAATTGAAGATTCAAGTCCAGCTGATGGGGAGTGCTGTAAATGAATGACAGAAAAAAGATGTTTATGGAGGGATAGGTGCAAGGGGTTGAAGCAAACTCTTCTTATCTGGGGAAAAGAATCAATTTAAAGATTCAGTATTTTTCATCGATAAAACACAGTTTATTTTGTGCCAAAGTTGACATGGCAAAGAACAAGGAACATATGAGTTTACTTTATATGTAGTAAGACGATAGGGCAGTATGTGCACACAGTTTGCCATGGAGAGTGTAGTAAATACACTTTTGAACAACTGCTGTGACTTTACTGCACGTTTTTAGAATATCCATCGCCATGGTATGTGATTGCTGTTAAATGAAATATGCAGTATGTGAAGAGTGAGCCCTCAAAACCAGTTGACAATGGCATTGATGCTCATATATTTTTACATATATGATGAAATATGGCAAAGAAATGTTGACCACTTCTGAAGTTCTCAGAAGCAGTGTTGGAGGCTGATTGCAAAAGCTCATTTGTATTCTTTTTAGTGTTTTTTTTCTCAGATAATTATGTTGAAATCAAGGCTGTCATGCTTCAAAGTGAAATAGGTCATAAATCATTTGTTTTGATGTACTTGGTAAAATAAGTCAGATGTTAATTCTTCAGCCCCCTTCTCTTGACGAATTGGATCAAGTTCAGTGATAAGTGTTTCCCTCTTTAGGAAACTTGTCAGAAATGCAGTTGTAAGGCAATACAGTGGTTTAAGCAAAGTTGAAGGAGCTGTGAATGTTTATATCGGAATTACTGTCATGAAGGAATTTTATTGTTAGCCCAGTCTCTTGTTCAGTTTTGTTCTGCCACCTCTCTGAACACCTGCACTATCAAAGGTAGCAGTCCAACTGAAGACTGATAAATCCTTCGTATGACAGAATCACAGAATCACAGAATGTTCGGGGTTGGAAGGGACCTCTGAAGATCATCCAGTCCAACCTTCATCCCAGCATATCTAACCCTACACCATAGCCTCAAGTGCTAGATCTACTTTTTTTTTAAACACCTCCAGGGTTGGTGACTCCACCACCTCCCTGGGCAGCCTGTTCCAGTGCCTCACCACTTGTTCAGTAAAGAACTTCCCCCGAATATCCAATCTAAACTTACCCTGGTGCAACTTGAGGCCATTTCCCCTTGTCCTGTCATGACCAGCTTGCCTTTTGTAAAGAATTACTCAGTTTCAGCAAGAATGTGGCCTACCTGCATAGTCTTAAATTACAAGGTAATTAGCTCTTTAAGGTTATGATTTAAATGCAGAACTAAGTGAAGTTAGGCTTTTTCCAACATTTAGAATGTTTTTAGAACTGTGTAGGGTGAAGTTGCCACCATATATTTTTCATATGCCTCAATTTTATGGCATAGCTGAAAGAGAAAAAAAAGAGTGTTCTACCTGATTTTTTTTCTCTTATTGACTCTCTTCCCAATTTGCAAAGTGTATGTCTGAAAAGATGGCTAATATGAAGTCTATAAAGATCGCTTTTTAAAAAATGTTAATGAAATTCTATACCTCAACCTTAACTAATACGTAAGAAATGTATTAATAGCATGTTCTGTTGTGTGCTATTAATATGTAAAAATATATTAAGCCATGCTATTTTTGAAAAAGTCAATTGTTATCCTTCAGAAGTTATTAACCTTAGTTATGTTATATGATTATGATTATTTTCATCACAATCTGGAAATGTTTTTTGTTTATGGAGTATAAAACCCCAAACAACTGATACTTGTTAACTAAAATCAGCAATCAGGGCAATTTGAGAAAAGTTTCATGTAGTCAGTTGTGACATAATTTGAAAATTGAGGAGAGGCTAAGAACATTGGCAAGCAATGTTGGAGGTCTAAGTATTAATTTTTATGAAGGAAATATAAAAGAAAAAGGGAAAAAAGGGAAAAAACAAGGTAAAATGGTTAATCCATCCAGATTCTTCTGTGTGTTTCTGCTAAAGTAGGTACTGATTTATGCTGAGTATAGATTTGCTCTTTATAAAGGGAAATCTCTGTAGTGCTGGCATTAATATTATAAGTAGTTATACATTATATATTATTACTACTATTTCTGAGGCACAATTTCAGGTCTTCCAAGGTCTGAAGAACATTAAAAGGGGTACACTGATTTCATAAATTTAATCCTGATCTCTGGTGGCAAATGTCATGAGTTGCTGCCTTAATTCAGTGGTGGAAATTGGTTTTCCTTGTGTTTCTCTGAAAGGAGTTTAATTTGTCTTAAGCATATTTATTTACTGAGACAATACAAATGATACCTTTATATTTAGCAAACAGACTGAAATTATACTTTATTTTATATTAGTAAATATTATATCTGTGGATTATTTTAAAAATACAAAGAAGTTGAGACAGAGTTTCTGGTTAAGGACAATGTCATAGGACATAACCTCCACTTGTTTCATGTCTTTTGTTGACCAAGCGGTTGCTCTTGCGTAGCTTATGTGTTGTAAAATTTAATTTTTTCTTACTTTGCAATTGTATGTTTATGCAGTTGTGTCCAGAGCTCTTGTTAGTCCTTGCTTCTATTTTCTTAAAATGCTGTGTGGTTTGATTTTTATTTATTATTTTTTTAAAATCATAGACTCATAGAATGGCCTAGGCTGGAAGGGACCTCAGAGATCATTTAATCCAACCTCCCTGTCATGGGCAGGGACGCCTCTCAGCTAGATCAGGCAACACATGAGGACCGAGCGAGGATTGTTTAATTGTTTGCTGGGTTATGTAACTAAGCACATCGTAAGGTGTTCAGGCATAAGGACATTTTGGCATTGAAGGTGAACTGCAAAGCTTTAAAAGAAGGAAATATAAGAATCTGCATCGATGGTATTTATGGATGTGCAGAGGATCTCTATACGGGAGAACCTCTGGGGCCGTGCGGCAGAACACGGTCGTCCTGTAGGCCTTCTCTTAACACTGGAGTTGGTGTCTGGACTACAGCCTTCATGTGTTGCAGAGGAGCGAAAAGTTGATTTTAAATCAGGATATTTTGAAGCCAATAACTCAGCCCAACTCTCTGTTCTCTCGGACACGCAGGTGGTGCCAGGAGTGGCCAGGCTGCTTGCGAGGCTCCCGTCAGCGTGGCAATTGCAGTGCGATTCCTTGTCTTGCCAGGTTTCAGCATAGACTTTACCAGAAGGCATAAAGCATTTGAAAGGAGGTGTCAGAGGAGGAGCAGCGTGGACTATGGTGTTGTCATGGCTCAGTTCTCTGATGCCCAACAGCTAGGCTCCTGTGAAATGAGGGAGGATTTCCCAAGTTCCAGACAGTTGTTTTGAATGCGTATGGCAAAATCCTTTTTATAAGTAAAAGGTCTTTTGTAGAGATTTCAGCTGCGAAGGAGTCCGGAATGTCGAAGGAAATGAGGCTTTTATGTCTTTCCTAGTAGTTCTTGTTATAAAGCATCTTAAGAGTTTTTGATGGTTGGAAGCAGAAATGATTCACAGGAAGAGAAGTGTGTCCACTGTGGCAGATTACAAGAGTTATACACTACATATTTTTCAATTAAGCCTAAATGAAATTGGAGTTAAAAAAAAGGAAATTAAGTATTTCATAATAGAGTTTCTGATAAACTACTAGTGTTACTAATCTGGGACATGCGCCAAAACCTGAAAAAAGACATTGGTGCCAGGCGCTGTGTAGATGTTTGTATGTCTGAATGTAGAGCGAACATCTGGCAGTATGTACACGAACGATGCGCAGTGTCTCTGTGAGTTGCCCAGATTACTGTTAGCTGTAATTTTCTTATGTCCTTTCTAGAATACAGTGGTAATCTCTCTGTGGTGTCTTCCTTTTTACTAAAGAAGTCAGGAGTGGAAAGGGCACTGTGTCAGCTCTGCAAATTCTCATGTAACGCGAGTTTATTCATTCTCTTGATACAAACTCGATGACTCTATTGATCTCATTTATAAGAGTGTGCTTTCATGTCGGGTGACTTATTGATTTGCACAGGCATAATAGTCCTTTGTAAATAAGCTCTGATCTAGACTATGGCAGGTGTCTGAGCAGTACAGCCTCCTTTTTATATGCAGATGTAGCTTCTGGGTCTGAAATGCTGTGATGCCTTTCTGTCTCTAGTACCATTATTTTTGTTTCAGGCTCTAATATAATAAGCAGCTCTGAAGGGAAATACAGAATCTTACTTTCTCATTTTAAAATATTGGTCTGCTGGTTTAAAAGCATGCCTTTATTTTTTTAATGGTTGCTCACAAGTACACAGCATATCCTTTTCATTCAGATTTTTTTATAAATGTGTAACTTCTACTTTGGCTTGGGCTTGCCTTTTGGATATTTGTCATTATTGGTTTGCATAGTCTGTAAAACAAAAATTCTCACAGAAGCTGAAAGGCTTGCAGTGTTAGGTGAGTGAAAAAGAATTTTTTCCCAAATATCTGATGTTAAATGTATAATTCTGCTCCTTTTTAGTTCTAAAAATTCCTCTAAATTGAGAATGAGAGTGTGCGATACTGCCTTTCATCCACTATCGAGAGAGTAGTGACTTGCAAAAATGGAAAGTCTTGGGGTATATAAATACTTTTTTCTAGAAAGCATAATTGTGTTTAGTAATATATACAAATATTAAGCATATAATTTAAAATGTAAAGGTACTGCATTTAAGTAGTTTAAAGTATGAAGCTTTGCATTGACCTTTAAATCTGAATTCCTTTGTTTTCTCTAGATGTTTAAATTCATAATATGTTTTTTGTTTTTACACAGTAATATCTGGGTTTGCAATTTTGGGTGACTTGCCTGTTATGTATGCTTACTTTGATGCGATTTACTACATATAAAGCTATTTTGTATTTAAAATAATTTTTTGTAGCATGAAAATTCCCATGGGTCTGCAAGAATTGCCACATAAGATTCAAACGAATTGAAAATACAAATCAAGCTTTATTTCAAATAATAATGTGTTTAGGAATTGTCTTTGTACAGGTAAATGGTTACGGTTTTGTGACAAGAACAACTATACGGGCAGACTTAATCAGGGTACAGTATTGCAAATTGAATCATAATACTAATGGTGAATACTAAAAACATCAAACAATTTGTTTTCAACAAAAATTAGATTGCTGCCTAATATTTTATTTGCATGCTGTGCTCTGCATCTGCGTTGTTTGTTACATATCAATATAATGATATATCAATATCATTAAACTTGAAACGCCAAACAATTTACTATCATTAAGGCTAAGGTTATAAAGCAGAACTTGAAGAAATGCTTTATCTCAGTGCTTTTGAGGTGTGAATTATCCTAACAAAGGAGGTTGCCATGGCAATAAGATCTTCGATGCTGTATTGTGTGTTAATGTACTAAGGTGGCATTTGATTCAGAATTCGGTATTTGAGTGTACTTACTGTGATGAAGTGTAAAAGAAATGGCATGATAAGGAACTTGGATTGATTTAGGAAGAAGAATTTGGAGTTGGAGAGATTTGTTCTGATCATGGACTGCAGCAGTCTCACACGCAGCTAGAGGTGCTGGAGAATGAATTGACTGGGAGACAGCAAGACATTGAAGAGCTAAACAGAGAGCTAGAAGAAATGAGGGCAGCATATGGTACAGAAGGATTGCAACAGGTATAATTACCTTACGTTGCCTTCTACTTGCTACTCGGTTACGTGCGAAAATGCAGAGCATCACCTGAGAGACTTCACACTTAGTAGCAGCTGATCAGAATGCAGTGAGTGTGTCGCAGAATTACACAGAATTTCTTCCAGTCACGTGTCGTGTGCTCTCTTTCTTTGAAGGCATTCTCATTGTGTGTCCTTTTTCTCTCTGTTTTGTGACTAAAATCCCAGTCTTCACAGTGACTTTCCTCAAGTCAGGAATGCGAGGACAATTTTCTTCAAGAAAACCCATAATTCTCTAATTTTGCAAAGACTGCATTTCTTTGATACCTTTTTAAATGTTCCTCCAAGATCAAAAAACCCTCCAGTTTTACTTCCGAAGGAATGATATAACTGAGATGATCCTTTAACCAGAAAGATATTTCTAAGTCAGACGTAACAGTCTGAAATACAAGGCAACTGTGTCAGAATGTTTTAATAAATGTCTAGTAATTTGGGATTGCTGGGAATTATTTCTTACTTCAGAAATACCACTGGAATTTAAAGTTAGGTTTTAAAGTAAAATATATTAAATACTTATTCTTCCAGTGTAAACAAGTGGTGCAGCGCACTGAAGTTGGTGCTTTGTCATGCTCTGTGTCTTACGTATCTCTCTTTTAATTTGGATTCAGGTCACATCATTGTGGTTTTCTGTTTTGTTTTTTTCCAGAGTACTATAGCAAAATTGTTCTAATACTTAGTCATTTTCACTGTCATTATTATTGCAGTTATATTTTTTCCGGCTTTTATTTGTATTTTATCCGTGAAAATGGATGTCGTATTTTCGATCATACTAGAGTGGTCTTTTAAGTCGTTGCCCTGGAGGGAGGTGGTTTATCATTCCTTTGACCCCTGTGTTGTGCTAAACATTATAGTCATAATTGCAGCATAATAAAGAACATAAGCATAATTTTAGTTTCTCACAGTTGTGACTACTCTTAGTTTTGCCTGAAAAAGATGAAAGGTAAAGTGTTTTCATTTTTTAAATGGCTATGATTACTTTTTTAAAAAATAAATTAAAAATATACTAAACCAAAACAGGTTGTGATACAATATTTTAGTAGTTGCAGCATGTTTTTGTATGGTAAGTGATACAGTGCATAATGCTCAGTTGAGAAATGCACGTCATTCATTTTTCAGAAGAAACAAAAGAATTGTAAAAGGGAAGTGCGATAGATATGTGCTTTAGTTCTGCCTGTTAAAGAAAAACACTGAATAAAAACCTTAGTAATTATTATATAACTGTGTGGATTGAGGCAGATAAATTTAATTAATCAATTTCATTGAACAGATGCAAAAGGAAAGATATGACACACTTAAGTGTCTGATCTGTTCCTAATTTTCTCTGTTGTAGCAAACGTCTAGTATTTCCTCTAGAACCATGTTTTTAAAGTAGGAGTTCACGGCAGTGTTTTGAAAAGAACTTTAAAAGAATTTCTTCAAATTTTTTGCAGTTTGCCTTGTTTAAGAGAGTTCTGGATTTTTATTTCTGAATAATGTTCCTGTCCTCTAAATCAGTAAGGTTTATCTGGAAGCATTATGATTTTACTTCACACTCACCAGGTAATCTGGAGGGACTGTTCTAAACAAGTTACAGAAGGTGACTGATTATTAAAGAAATATGGAATATATAGAGATGAAGCTTCCGCGAGCCTTGAATGATTGACAAAATTGACAAAATTACTTTAAAGTGAATAGCATCTCTATTTAAATAATTGCACATGAAAAGGGTCCCAATTAATTTTTTAGAATTTCTGTCTGGCCGAGTGTAATCCTACAAAAAATGGAATGCTTGCAAAGGATTTTCTTCTGTACTTATATCATTTCTTCATCAGTACAAGTTACAAAATGCCCTTTATCAGTGTTTCAGCTTTGGATAAGTTTTCTCATGTAGTTATGAATAATTTGTCTGGGTTCACAGTGTAAGATACCACGGGGTATTTTTTAAGTGCTTTTAGTATGACGAATGCAATTTATTAAACTTTTGGGAGAGAGAGATGACATAACTTGCATGGGAGTGTGAAAAATGTGTGGACATGAGTAGTTGTACATATTACTGAAACACTGTAAGTGGATAATCTGACTTCCTTCATGATGGATTCTATGGCCTTGCTTTCTACGTTAAAAGCAAGATTTTTTTTTAACTAGGTTCAGATTTTGTTCTTTGATAACTATATTTCATGGAGAGGTCATGTATTATTAAATGATGGGAAAAATTAGTTTTCTGATATATTTACGACTAGAGTTCAAAAACATAGATGCTCCACTAAATCTGTGTGACATCTTTTAAACAGAGAGGTTAGGGATGACATATTCCCTCTTAGCTAGAGCAAGCTAGTATTTTTTTTGTGTCTGTGGTTTTGATGTGCACTAATAGTTTAAATTTTATCTTTTGTAGCTGCAAGAATTTGAAGCTGCTATTAAAAAAAGAGATGACATTATTACTCGACTCACTACTAACCTACAGCAGGCACGGAAGGAAAAGGATGAAACTATGAGGGAGTTCTTAGAGCTTACTGAACAAAGTCAAAAACTGCAAATTCAGTTTCAGCATGTAAGTTGCAGCACTACCAGTATTTATCGGGATTTGAAACCTGCTGTCACGGTGGAGGGTCCATAAAGAACTACTTCCTGCGGAAACAGAAATTTTTGTGCATTTTTTTCTGAAGAATTGGTCTCTTGGGGTAGATTAGCAGTCACTTTACCAGTTCTATGTTATTGTACTAATTCACTGTAAAATGATGAGTAGCCTGTTTCATTCCCTAGTCTGATGAATACTGAATGACGGCAGTTACCTTGGGGAAAAATACTTCTGTAGTTAGTTCTCAGAGCTTTGGACTGAAACCTAGCCTGTTCGCCTTGAATCAAAACAACCAGCTATCAGCTTTGGTGGACCATCATTTCGTAGAATCCTAGGCTGTCTTAGGTTGGCAGGGACCTCAGAGATCATCTAACCCAACCCTTACCATGGGCAGGGACGCCCTTAACCAGCCCAGGTTGCTCAGGGCTCATCCAACCTGGCCTTGAACATCTCCAGGGAGGGGGCAGCCACAGCCTCTCTGGGCAATGTGTTCCAGAGTCTGGCCACCCTCCCACTGAAGAATTTCTGCCTAAGATCCAATCTGAACCTATTCTCCTTTGATTTAAATCGATTTCCCTTTGTCATGTTGCTGTAATAAGTCCCTCCCTAGCCTTCCTGTAGGTTCCCTTCAGGTGTTGGAAGGCAGTGATAAGGTCCTGCCGAAGTCTTCTCTTCTCCAGCTGAACAATCCCAGCTCCCACAGCCTGTCCTTCCTATATTTTTGGGTAAAATCTGCATCTTGTTATTAGAAGATAGTTTAAATAACAAAGTTAAGTTTCAGAAGAATCATACTGGTGACTGAGGTGCCAGAGACACTCTCTTAATCTGCAGACTACAGCTTACAGTGTTGTAGTTGAATATTGTAGTATTTTGTGTTGTTTAAGCACCTTATATAGCCTTTTTCTGAGATTCAGGTGGATTATAGTGAAGCCCAATTTTTATTATGTTTGGAGGTGGTAATTACAAATAATTTCTTTTACTGCTCAGACATATTTTAGAGACACTACTGTGCTGTGCTAGCTCACCACTAAACAATTTGATATTAAATACTTTTAAAAAACTGTTTGGTCATCCGAAAAGAATAAAGATATTTCAGTTCCTTCTGAAAGAACTTAGAAAATTTAGTGATAGTCTTTGGGTTTGTGATGTGGAAGAAGAAAGTATAGATCACTTTTGCTGCAGTGCAAACTGTTTCTGGAAAGCATGATATATATTTTAGGTTTTATTTTTCAACATTCAAGCTGCAGGCAAGTGAAGCCCTAAGGAACACCAGCCATAGTTGCACAGCTGCTGACCTACTGCAAGCCAAGCAACAGATACTTGCACATCAGCAACAGCTTGAGGAACAGGAATGTCTACTGAAGAATTATCAGAAGAAGAATGAGGAATTTGAAGAACAGATTGCACATCTTCAGGACAAAATAGCAACGTATGAAGTGGTATGTTCCATACTAGCAAGATCTCTTTTCCTAATCTCTTAGTTCTTTTCATGATTTTCTAGTTCCTTTTGAAATTTAAGGGCCAAAGCAGGGATCATGAGTGTGCTGCATAGAATACATACAGAGATTATAAGTTTTTAAGACTGCTTCTATTAACTACCACGTAAGCGTTTAATTCAAAAAGAATTTTTTTTGTCAGTATTATGTATCGTGTTCAGTGAGTACTGAAACTATGCTGTATATTAGAATGCCTTCATTAAATGACATGGTTTTGTTAGGAAAATAAATCAAAAATAACTTACTTGAACAACATTTTCTGTCTTAAGAAAAGAATGAATTCTTTTCCTCATGTACATTTTTTTAAATTATCCTTCATGGAAAACATCTTGACAGTACCTAAATAATTTAAATGTCAGTGAAAGTGACAAGATACAAAGCTTTCAGTAGATTGCACCAAATATTTATTTTAAGTGTCTAAGAACAACTGTAAAAAATGGCAGTGATGTTTGTATCTTTTTTTCTCTTTCCTTTTCTCCTCCTTTTTCTCCCCTCCTTTTCTTTCCTGCTCCCTCCTTTTCTTTCCCCCTCCTTTTTTGAGGGAGGGAGGTGGTATGGGGGGCAGGGAGTGAGGCGGAGCAAGGACTGTCACTTATTCCAGAGATACAGAAAACCTCCAGCTGAAGTCAACAAATAATTTATATTTAGTTTTTATGAATGATCACTAGCCTTCTAAAAAAGGCGTTGTGCTTAAAGAGCTAAGTCTGTAAATGTTCTTCTGTGTTCAGATAATGAATTAAACATAAGAACGTGGGTTTTGCTCATTTTTTTAAAGGAAAAACACAAAAATGAGGGAGAAGACGTGAGTAAACTACAGGAAAAAGAAGCTTTAGTTGAAGAGCTGGAAGCAAAACTTGGAGAAGAAGAAAAAAATTCTTTTCAGCTTCAGGAAAAATTATCAGATGTCAGTAAATTACTTGAAGAATTGAAAGAACAGATTTCACTGAAGAACCAAGAGATAAGTAGCATGAAAGTCGAACTTAGCAGCTACAAACAGAAAGAAAGGCAATGTTCTGATGAAATAAAACAATTAATGGGAACTGTAGAAGAATTACAGAAACGATGTTATAAAGACAGCCAGTCTGAAGCTGACATTGTGCAAAGAATGGAATTAGAAACACAAAGGCGGCTGGCCCAACTTCAGGCTGAATTGGATGAAATGCACGGCCAGCAGATTGTACAAATGAAACACGAATTAATTAAGCAACATGCGATGGAAATAGAACAGCGTCTTTCGCAACAAAAAGTAGAGTTGGAGAAAATTTCAAGTCCATGTTGGAATGAGAATGTTAATAAAGATCAGGTGGATTTAATGAATATTAAGATTAATGAATTGAATGTGAAATTGCAAGATGCTGATAGTGAAAAGGAAAAAATAAAGCAAGAGTTGTCACAACAGATGGAAGTTATTTCGGCAGAGAGGTCTCTGCAGCAAACTAAAATTGAAGGTCTTTTGCAAGAACTGAATTTTTCAAGAGAGCAGGTTCAAAGAGCCAAACAAACAATAGTGGATATGGAGTGTAGGTTAAACGAAGCTGAAAAATACCAGTTTGTGATAGAAGATTTAAGAATTCAGCTAGCTTCTGCCTCTGAATTTAGGAAGGAATTGGAATTAAAACATGAGGCAGAAGTCACAAATTACAAAATCAAACTTGAAATGCTGGAAAGGGAGAAGGATGCAGTTTTGGACAGGATGGCAGAATCTCAGGAAGCAGAATTAGAGAGACTGAGAACAAAGCTTCTGTTTAGTCATGAAGAGGAACTTTCCAGACTTAAAGAAGACTTAGAAAAAGAGCACATAGTGAACATAGAAAACCTTAAAGATGACTTAAATATGCACCATAAACAGCAGTTAGATGAGGTACAAAATGAAATGAGTCAAAAGATAGAAGCCATGCAATGTGAGAAGGACAACTTGATCACACAGCAAAATCAGTTGATACTAGAGATTTCAAACCTTAAAGATACACAGCAGTCTATTTTAAATTCTCAGTCTGAAGAAATGACACTTCAAATCCATGAGCTTCAGAAGGAGATTGAAGTGCTTAGGCGAGAGGAAAAAGAAAAAGGTACCCTTGAACAAGAAATTCAAGAGCTGCAGCTTAAAACCAAGTTGATGCAGGAACAGATGAGGGATAGAGAAGATAGCCTTCAAAAAAAATGTTCAGAACTTGAAACACAAAATGACCTTCTTAAGGGGGAAAACAAAACTCTAGAAGAGAAATTAAAAAGTATGTTGGTAAACGCTGAAGAAAATGTCATTTTTAATAACAATGTTAGCTCTAAGTCAGAAATTCTGCACTTGGAAAAAAGGATAGAAAACCTGATTACTGAAAATGAGCAACTTAAAAACCAAAATGGTCAACTCCAGGAGGATGCTGAAAGACAGAAGAGTGCGTTTTCATTTACTGAGAAAAAAATGGAAGATAGTTACAAAGAGCTGCAGAAAGAATGTGCAAGTATTCTGAAGGCAAAAACCGAGGTGGAAGAGAGCAAAATTAAGCAGGAAGCAGAATACAAAAGCAAACTCAAAGCTTTGAATGAAAGACTTCACCACTTACAAAGCAGTAGACCGGTTTTACTTAGAACTAAAGCTTCTGGTTTTGAAGGGAGTGAAGAAATCAAGATGTCCAGGGCAGACATTCCTGAGGCTGGAGAAGTTGTTGAGAAAGATGCAACAGAACTTATGGAAAAGCTTGAGGTTACTCAGCGTGAGAAAATGGAATTATCCCTGAGACTTTCTGATCTCTCTGAACTGTTGAAGTCCAAGCATAGTGAAATTTGTCATTTAAATGAAAAGATTAAATCCTTAGAAGATGAGAAAGAGCAAGTTCTAGCAAAATGTAAAGAACTGGAAGTCATCATTAGCTGTGCTCAGAGAGCAAACAATAGTAGTAATGAACCTAAGACAAAATGCTCTAAAGGAAAAACTCTAAAAACTCCTGCTCCAGCATGTGAAAGGAGAAGTAAAACCCTTGGTTCGAGGAATAAAGTTGATGAAGGAATAAATGTAAGAGGAAATACAGGTTCAGGTAAAGATACCAGTCATGATGTAACAAAAAGGAATGACGTTCAGCAAGTATTGAAACCAGAACAGCAGTCTCTTGTAGAACATTTGCATGGAGTGACAGACAGGCTGACAGATGAAACATCGTTAATAGCCGTTACGGGGAGTGAAAATAGTGATCTTCAGCAACAAGTGGATGCGTTAAAATCAGAACAGGTATGTTCCATAAAGCAGCATAGAAAATAGCTTACCTATGCAAATTTGTAAGGAACTTGCCCTTGGAAATTTGCATCGTGTTTTTCCTGTTGGCTGCTTTGAAGTACAGGTGTGTGGTTGGGCGTGTGTGGCTGCGTGGCCAGGGGTTGGAAGTTGTCACATGAATGACTGGAAAGATAACCATAGGCACTGTGCATAAGGATACTATTTTTCACTGAAAGAAATACTCGTCCCTTACATGTAATTGAATCACCAACAAAAGCAAGAGAAAAGCCATCTAGAGCACTTCGTGCTTTGATAAAGCATTTAACCATCTTTCTTGAGGTGAAAACTTATTCAGGACATATTTTTTTAAATCTCTGATTAGGTTTTCTGTTCTTTAAGTGCTCATTCAAACAATATAAGGAGATAATGAAACTGTTGACTTCTTCATTCATCTTTTATCAAACTTGGAAATATCAAACTTGTGAAATACTAATATTCCATTATCAAAATTTTTGTTTATATGCTGTTGTCACTTCTTAAGAAATGTATTTGGATATGAATGTGAGACGTGAAGATACAGAAGTTGCATATTGTGTGATTCTAACCAATCTCCATGTATTGCTGGACAAAGTTTGCTTGTAGTTTTTGCTATTGTGAATGAATTGCAGGTAGTATGGAAGGGATTGTTACTTGCCACTAAAAATAGCTAAGTACTGAATTACCAGGATTCAGTTAGATGCAGGAATCATAAGTGTGGCTTAAAATTTATGTACAGTGATGAAGTTGAATAGCAGGCTGCAAGAAGTGTGCAGCTAAGTTTTCTGTAGAAATGGCGGTTAACCTGTCTTCTGCTGTTTCTTTTAGATTGTTTTTTTCCCCCATGTTATAAAAACCACCTAGCAGTGGACTGCCACCACCACTGCCTTATTTTAGGTTGTGTTGCACTTCATTAATTTCCTAAGAAATAAAATCACAAGTAAAACCACATTGGAAAGAGTTGTGAGACTATAGATAAGAGCTGCAGTTGTGAAATATAATACTAATTTTCTTTTATGAGGGTATGATAAGGGTCATACAATTTACTGCCGTAGAACTAAAAGAGTTCCAGAGGTGTCTAAAAACCTTTTCAAACTTGGACCCTAAGTAGCATATCCTAAACATGTTTATGCTTTAGCAGTGGCATCCCCAGAAGTGCAGAACAGAACAACAGGCCTGGGAAATCAGTGTTTTTTAGGGTCTGCTATTAAAATGGTCTTTTTTCTGTGTTTGAACTGTCTTAACTTACTCTTTTGGTGATGCTGCTCTCACTTCATTGGGGTAAAATTGGTTGGGTTTTTATTGCTGCAGGACAGGAATTGAAGCATATTGACTTTTGCTGATTTTTATTTTTATTTTAAGTTGAAGTGTCGTTTCATTACAACTCACTTTTCCAAACTGTGTATATTTAAATTTAACTAATGTATACCATATATGCAGCTTTTTATTAAGCACTTTGTTAATTTAAGAAATTCACAAGGACAGGGTTATTTTTGGTTTCTTGTTTCTCACTCTTTGTAAAATACATATTTTTATTCAAAGACTGATTTACAGCTACAGATGGAAGCACAGCGCATTTGCCTGTCCCTGGTTTATTCAGCTCACATAGACCAGGTTCGTGAGTACCTGAAAGCAGAGAAAGAGAGTGCACTTTGCAGTCTTAAAGAGGAGCTTGTACGTAGTCATCTACAAGAGATGAATGATATTAAAAAAACGCATCAGCTGGAGCTCCAGACCTTGAAAATTCGACAAGCAGGTAACTTGACCAAAATTACGGGAGTGAAGCTCTTGATGTGAAAAACAGTGTCTTTAAGAGAAAACAAACATGGGAGTTTGTGCATATAGCTGTCCAAAAAATTGTTTTTATAGAACGTTTTGAAGTGGTTTTGTACCATATTACAAGTACCCATGGATACAGTTGTACCCATTACAAGTAGTCTGTTGCTCAGGGTACTTAGAAAACAAACCACACCAATCAAACAAACACAAAAAAACCCTAATATATAATAAAAGAGAAGGAATAGGAAATATTACAACTCATGCTTTGCTGTTTGTATCTGGTCAGTGAATTGCAAAGAGCTGTATAATTGATTCACCTGTAGTGTATATTCCTTACTAAAATAATAAGCACATGAATCAGCAATATATTTTTGAGCTCGATTCATTCCGTGTTCCTTGAATCCCTGCATTGGCTCCCTGCCCACATTCTTTGCTACTATGTTTTACCTCAGTGAGCTTAGGTTATCATGCTGGTTTTCTATCCTTACTTTTTCTGTCATCCCATGGTTTGCCTTTGTGTAATTTTTTGGCAGTTCTTTGCCCTCCAGTGTGTTTCTGTGAGGTTTGGTCTTTCTAGAGCTCGCTAACGCACAAAGCTGTTTCTTGTCACTGACTCCTCTTGAGCATATGGTTCTACCATAGTAATTGGATCTGTCTGTGTGATGGAACAAAAAACAACCTTCCTGAGAGCTGAAGACACAACCTCACTGAGGCAGGAAATTAGGCCTTTGAAAGTTTTCGTGTGTCCAGCGTTAAAAATAATATGAATCGTTTGTATTATAGATGATGACGTCCAGTCGACACAAAGCCTTATAGAAAAGCTGAATGAAGCTGTAACTGAGGAATGTTCTAGGCTTGCTCAGGTAAGACCTAACAAAAAGCCTTTTTTAAAATGGAAATTTTGAAAAATTATGTATACAGAAATTTGTTGTATTTTTCTACATAGTTTTCAACAGGTTTGCTTGGCAGCTTTTGTCTTTGCATTGATCTGAAAATAGAAATGAATAAAGCTGGTCTTCCAATATAACATTGCAATGGGTTTTGTATTTTGTTTTCTAAATGGTTTTATGTCCTTGTGCAGACAATTCTTCTGTCTTATACCTAATCTTAATCTTCTAGCTAATGTATGTATTATATCTACTAGCTCAGAAGTAATTTTTTCCTTTCTGTGTGTCTCTGGCTCTAAGGTTTTGATGTCACACATAAACATTGATGTACAGGAATTACTCATATCTGCAATAAGACAGTAATTTTATTCTTACCTGCAGCATACCTTCCAAAGATTGTAAAGTGTCTAAGAATATACCAGCATTGGTGTTTGTGTTGTTATAGTCAAAAATTGAAGCTTATTCATAGACCAATAATACTACTAGAAATCAATGGCCCTTACAGGTACTTTCTGACCAGCAACATGCTTATTAAACTCACTTCTGCATGAATTAAACTACTTTGATCATTCATTATAAGGCATAGTTTTCTACTATTAAATACCTCAAATGATTTGCTTCGATGTTGTGGGGTTTTTTACCTTTTTTGATGAGCTTTTTTTCAACACGTATTTGGGAAAATGGATAGCAGAACTTTTTTTACATAGGAGAGATTAAGCAGGACTCCATAATAATAATTGTTCCATTTGTTGTGCAGGTTTTGTGTGACAATCAGAATGAACTTTCTTCAGCTGCTGTAGAGGTTGGTGATAGGGAACAGGATATTTTCCATAGACCTGCTGCTGCAAAGGAAAAACTGAATGTAGAATTACCAGTACACAGAGGTCAAGGTAATGGCATTGTACTATCAAGCCAGTTAAAAGAAATACTAATTTCAAGTATTTCAGAACGCAAATTATGCCATTAGTTGTTCAGGTGCTAATAAATATGCCTAAATAGCTGCTTTAGAGATCTCCTCACTGTTCTGAACCG